GATTTTAGAGGGGGACATCAGGGGAAAAACTCTAGCTCTTAATTCCTGTTTTGTTACTCTTAGCTCCCATTAGTATTCTTTAAACTTTGTGATACTAATGTGATTTTTGTGCATTATTTGTGAATCATATGACTTGTTAAAAGTTTATATGATATACAGAGACCAGCTTAATTTATTAACCAAAAGGACAATAATAAAGGAGTGCCTACTTTTTCAAGATCGTTTAATTTTATGACTTTATCCACCATTGGACTTAGAAAAAAGGGGCAACATTAATTAAATACTTGTGTTGACTATCATCTGTAATAAATTTAAGGCTACCTAATTATTTATACTAACCAGCTTTTTAATTTAAAAAAATAAACTTGACGATCAAATTCGTTAATTTTAAGATACCACATTAAATCGTATACAGTCGAGCACGTTTACTGGTACGCTTTTTTTATTCTTATTTTAAAGAGAAGACAAATACTCCTACAAAACTTATTCTTGATTGAGCCAAAACTTACCTAATTCAAATCGCAAAGACCACTTAACTTTATACAAGAATATTGATGCAATGGTAAATGCAATAGACGAAGTAATTACATATCCCCGCTCCACTCTTCCTCCCCCACCCCCCACCCAAAAAAAAAAAAAAAAAGGAAAAAAATTATATCCTTGTCTTATATATTTGAAGTGGTTTTTTCTAACTAAATTAAAATATGCCTATATTCTATAGATTATTTATTCTATAATAAATTATTGTTATTAATAGTATTAACACATCAAAGTCTTAATTTCATTAGATATAAATATATTAAGTATATAAGACTAAATATATAAGACTTATTCTTGTCACAAAACCATCAGCATGTAAGTTTTTCAAGTGAGTGAGAGGTTATGAGTTCGATCCTACTTGTAATCTCAAATTATTAACACCTTTGTAATGACCCAAAAATTTAAAAAAAATAAAAAAATAAAACAAAATAAAATGAAGTAATAATAATTAAATTAATTAAATTAAAACTTATGGTGAGATATTTAAATATTTTTATTAATTTTAAGACAAACATAAGAAAAAAGATGAGGAGGCTTAATGAAAACTCTCATGGTGTCTAACTTCCTATTTAAGGGTTCAAATTTACAAGTCCAAAAAGAGTCTGTATTTCTTTAGCCCTGTGAAATTACCCCACTGCCCTAAATTAAACTATGATAGTTTTTTCATTCCTCCTCTCCTTTCCCGTCATATGCGTGTCTGAACCATGGAGGGGGAGCTTATTCCAGAAGCTTCATCCTTTCTGGCCGAAAATCTCAGTTCTCCACCTCATCTGTTTGCTGCCGTCGCCGATGCTGTTGGTGTCGCCGTTCAAGCTTCTTCCTTCTTCGATTAAAAACGTCGGCGTTCATTGTGCTTTTTCGTTCATGTGGCTGTTGGTGCATTCAGATCTTCTTCTCCCTTCACCTGCGTCTTTGTTTGTGGCTGTGGCGTTCCTGTTCTGTGGGTGTATTCGAACTTCTTTCCCCTTTATTCTAGCTGTGCGCCGTCGATGAATGCAGTGGCTGTTGGTGGCTTGAGTGATGAATTCTATTTTCGTCTGTTCTGTCAGCTCCTTCCTCTTCCTCCCTTTCTCTATCGTTGCTAATTAAGGTGAGAAACAATAAACCTTCCTTCTTGTGGATTCTGTACGGGTGGGTGTGAGAGTTGATAATTGAAGAAGAAATTTTTTCCCCCTTTGTGTTGCTGTACTTGTTTGACTGGGAAGGAGAAATTGTAATTCAAACAAGCTAAAATTAACATAAAAAAAAAAAGAAAAGAAAATTTTTCTTTTGATAAGTATTTTGTCTATTCATGAATTAGTTGCTACGAGAGGGATTTAGATGTGAGTTTGAATCTTCTTTAAGCTTAATTGATTTGGGGGGAGGAGTTGAGCTTGAGAAGCCGCATGTTTTCTTTTTCTTTCTTCTGTACTAATTGTTGATTGTGGAAAGAAAAGGACATTTGAGGACGTATCTCAGTTAATAGAATAGGATTTTTGTTTGGGACAGCATTTCTTGAGATTCCATTTTGAGTATTGCAAAGAATCTAATTTTGAAATGATAGTGTGGTTAGTTGAATTTTTGAAATTGGTATGTTGAGAAATTTAAAACTATGGTGTTGTTTTTATCTTTTGATTTTGAGGATGTTGAAGATATTTGATAAAAATAGGTGATAGAAGTATGGTGAATTTAATTGTAGGAGTTTAAAATAAAAAAAAAAATTGTTTGGCCAAAGGTATTTGGTTAAAAAGCTTTATTGAATGGATTGGAAGTTATATACATAAAGTGTTTGACACAAGGTATAAAAAAACCATATCTCATTTAAATAGTAGTTATGATTAAGTGATATGAGGTAAATTGGTGGTAAGCAATGATGTTTGAGAAATTATTAAGATGTGAATTTTGGTTTTGAAATTTTGAATACTTGCAATTAATTGGGATTGTGTTGGTGGTAGGACGAAGTTTATATAACTATAGGAAGTAAATTGAGGTTTCATTTATACATATTCTTATAAGGTGTGTGGAAGATGAGGACTTTGATAAAAAAATTGAGGGAGAAAATCATTGGATTTTGGAAATTAGCAGGTAAATGAATAGCACCCCAGTTAATTTATCAATAAAAGCTCTTTTGCTGAAATATTACAGTTTTATACAAATCATTTTTAATTATTATAAGAATTTTTGGGTACTTATTAATTAAATTATTTTATCAAATGTACATGTATTTTCCTTATGAATTATGTTTTTAAGATGAATTTATTTTGACTAGCTTTGAAAATTTTGGTTATCAAGTAAATGCAAAAATGGACATTTTTTATAAAATTTTATTTTGACAAGTATTGAATTGATACTTAAAATGATTCATGTGAGTTTGGTATTGAGCATGAAAACTGTATTTCAAAAATGTCTATTTTTCTTGCATGTTTGAAAAGAAATTTTGAGAGGATTTTAAATAGAACACTGTTGTTGATGGCAGTTCCGTTAGCCCTTAACACTTCATGATAAATGACAAACTAGTTTAATTTTTATAAGCTCTGTTCTCACGTTTGATATTCATGAGTCTAATGCTTGCGTTTGATTTTCATGGCTTCAAGCCGTGTGTGGTTAGTATTACTTTCGTGGACTATGCGTCCATGTTTGTTTGTGTGCCTCAGGCCACGTTTGGTTAGCATTACCTTTATGGACAGTGTGTGTCCATATTTGTTTTTGTGACATAAGTCACGTTTAGTTATTTACCGTCGTAAATTGTGTGTCCGCGTTTGTTACTTGTTTTGTTAAGTCCTTAAAATTTTAAATTTCTACATAACATTTGGTATTTGAAATTTCAATACTTTTAGTTTGTAAATTTATTACTTTGATTTACATGCAGATAATTTGTTTTCTTCAAGCATGATAGAATAAAGCAATTTTCATTTCACTCTCATGTTATAGTTATGATTAAAATTTACAGATTTATTAAGTTTATTATATTGAATTATCATATCTTCAATTAGTTTACTTAATTGTTTGAGTTTATTATTTTTACTCTTTTAAATTCTATTTTTAGGGGATGCTATTCACTAGAAAATATTTTTAGTCTTAGATTCATTAGTTGATGCTAGACCTCCTACTTATCATTGAGGGGCTTACAACTGCGCTAGGTGAATATTTATCTTTGGAAATGCCTTTTTTTTAATGTAAATATTCAATTATGTGTTTTATTTTGAAATTATGTTTAAGTGCTCCATGTTAACTATAAAAAGAATCTTGATTTTATTTTTCTATGTTGACTATTTGTTGTTAGGGAGTGAAGTTCTGAATTGTTGAATACATGTTGTAATATTTTCTATTGTAGAGATTTCTAGAGACCTATTTATTGATGAGGTTTTGTCAAAATTTTTATAAAAATATTAAAGCTTTTGTTTTAATGGATATTATTAAGGATGCCAGAATATCAATATAAATCTAATTATGTTTTAGAAATAGAATAATTTTTTGATTTGAGGCATAAGGAATGTGTGAACAGTTCACATCTCATGCTGGTCACTTTCAATTTTTTTTGGGATGTGACAACCTCCTTTATTTTAATTAAGAAAAAAAGTCTCGTATTCCTCTCTTTCCATAACACCTTGTAGGTCACACCAAGAATCATTCTCCATTCAAAATCACATCCCTCTTCTTCTCCAGTAAATTCACCTTTACCCACTCCCCAAATTGCAATTCAGAAACTTGCTGCCAAAAGTAATTCGACATGATGGAGACAACCATACTTCCTCACTTTGCAGCAATCACTCATCACATGAACCACAGATTCGGTTTGACCACAAGCTTTGCACTCATAAGGAGCTCCTCAATTCTATAGTGTGAAGCCTCTCCTTGACCATCAACCAGTAACCACAAAAGCATCTGAATCCTCTCAATACTAGCTAAGTACGCCATTTCCAAACCAACTGTCGAACTCTGTCTTTAATCCTGCATAACTGATTCATCAATAGCTTATAGGTACTTTTAATGGAAAATTCACTTTGTTATGATCTCCTTTCTAACAAAATCGATCCATCCTCTCCCCAATAACAGGTTTTACCATAGAAAGTAACTTGTATCTAGCTTCAATAGGAATCAAACCACTCAACGAATCCAATTTCCATTCACCCACCTCATTTAAAGCATCACACACCATCCACTCTATTTCTTCAAAGAAGCATTACCTCTCCATTATTTTATTGAAAAGAAAAGGGAGGAAGAAGCGCTACCTTTCCTCCCACTTTTTTTTAAAGGAAAAAAACAAGGTAACGCTTCCTTGCTTAACCCATCATCTCGTAGTGCTTCTCTTATGATCAAGACACTACCTCTAGTTTTAAATAGCAAGGGAGCTTGTAGTAAAAAAAAAAAACTACAGTACAAGAGCCTTTTTTTTTGGTAGTAATGATGTCTTTATAGCAACTAAAGGAAGTATACCCAATTGAGTTTATGTTGAAATTGTTTGGAGTTCTGCACTAAGATTGATGTTTTAAGTTTCATAATATGATAGAAGATTGTCGTGGGAATAGGTAAGCTGTTACATGCAAGGAATCATAGAATTCAAAATCCTTCGAGGCATGATAAGCATATTAGAGAATACATGTAGTCAACATGCAAAAAATGTTACGTCTCTTCAATTTCATATGTATTCATGATGCCACGTGTCATCATTTGGTCCAGTGTTGTGATTGAATGACTAAGATCCACCTGCTGCAAAGACTTCAAGAAATCAATAATTTATAGGATTTGAATGCCAAAAAAGCACAAGACATCCATGAGTCACATAATTCACTTAGGAAGTTCAATATACCATCATAAGTTTTCCTAGTGTGATGGTGTCAAACTGGTCTGCTAAATGAGGCTTTCTCTTCATACGCTTCGTAGATACATGTTCCATAGTTGGACGAGAACATGGGTTTTCATTCAAGCAAGCAAGTGCTAATTTTGCAATTGATATCACTTCATCAGCAACTAGGTTTGTGGGTGGTGGAAGGCGTTTGTCTACAACATCCTTTAATGGCAACTTATAAGATGTAGGAATCTCTATCAAAGAACAAACAAGATCACTCGGATGCCTTCCCAATAAGATTTCCCATGCAAGAACTCCAAAACTGTAGACATCACATTTCTCATTTGCTTGTATGGTGAAAGCAATCTCTGCATTATGCATTTACAATATGAGAATAGTTATATTACAATGTAAAGAATAACAACACAAGTTGGTTGGATACAAAGAAAGAGTCTTAACCTGGAGCAGCATAGCCAAAGGTGCCAACAAATGAGGTCATGTTGTTTGAGTCAAGATTTAAGAACTTAGCTATTCCAAAATCGGTGATGTGAGCTTCTTGATATTCGAAGTCTAACAAAATATTCTTGCTTGATATGTCACGATGGATTACTGGACATGAGAGACCATGATGCATATGGAATAATGCATCAACCACACCTCTAACAATACTTACCCTTTTATTCCAATCAAGTGCAATTGCATGCTTATCATTTTTCAAAATCTTATCCAAGCTACCACCTTCTAAGAACTCATATACCAAGAAGGAGAGTTGTGAATTTTAAAAAAATCCAAGTAACTTCACTATGTTACGATGTTTGAGTTCTGTCAAAGCTTGAATTTCACTTGAAAATGCTTTCAAATTGGAAAAATTTGTGTTACAGTTTGGATAAAGTTTTTTGATAGCAAAAAATTGACCAACAAATAACTCAGCCTTATAAACACTTCCTTGTCCTCCTGCTCCAATGAGATATTTTTCATGAAAATTTTCTATTGCCTCAACAACCTTTCCTTGCAATATTTCCCCTTCAAAGCCCCATATAGAGAAAGAAGCTAGAGTAAGTGCCTTTTGATATTGACCTTTTGTTTTCTGAGGTTTGAATCATAATACATGAAATTCCAACGTCTACTAGCACTAGAGCAAACAAACAAAGTAGCAGTGGCATCAAAAATTGGGGTATTTTATTCTTATGATAATGTAGGCCTTCGCAAAATTGTAAACCCGTAACATTACCACATAAACTCGTGTTGTTCCTCACTGCTTCAAATGTGATGTTTCGAAAGGCTGGAATGTTTGGAAGTGAGCCCTCTAGCTGGTTGAATGATATGTCAATGGATGACAAGCTTGTCATTCCTTCAAAACTAGAGGGAATGGTGTTAGAGAGAATATTATGTGAGAGGTTTAATATTTCCAACATCTTTAATGTTCCAAGTGTTGCTGGTATTCTTCCTCCCAACACATTCTCACTTAGGTCAAGCTCTTGTAAAGCTTGTAATTGACCAAACTCTGAAGGAATGCTTCCTTTAAGCTTATTTTTGCTCAAATTCAAGAGCCATAGCTTGTGCAAGCTTCCAACAAGCTCCTTTGGGATGGAGCCAATGAAATCATTTGCATCCAACTTTAATTCCTCAAGCTCATTTAGTGATCCTATTTCTATAAGAACATTACCTGACAGTCTGTTATGACTTAGAAGGAGTCTATTCAATGATTTTAACTTCCCCAATTCCTTTGGAATTTCTCCAGTCAAGTGATTTGATGAGAGCATGATTTCACCAAGATCGATTGCATCTCCTAGCTCAAGAGGCATAGCACCTGAGAGGTTTTTATTGGAAATCTTTAGGGTCGTGAGATTTTGGCACTTGCCCCAGTTGGGAGAAAGTTGACCATAGAACTCATTACCACTTAGATCAATGAATTTTAAATTTGGGTATTCACCAAAATCACTTATGTTTCCAACTAGTTGGTTATCTTCAAGTCTTAGTCTAAGAAGACTTGAGCAATTTTTCAAGGTTCTTGGAATCTGACCAGTGAATTTGTTTGCAAAAGCAGCAAAGGTTTCTAATGATCCACCAAGGCAAACATTTTGTGGCAAATGGCCAACAAAATTATTCTCAAATAGGAGTAACATACTCAAGTTGGTAATTTTATTCATCTCCATGGGAATGCTACCATTGAGTTTGTTCATACCCAATCCTAGGGATTTAAGTTTTGTCAAATTTCCAAAGGAAGCAGGAATAGGACCAAAAAGACTATTATTTCCAAGGAAAAGGGCTTCTAGATTGATCAAATTTCCCAAAGAAGAAGGAATTGATCCATGAAGTCTGTTAGCCCACAAAATCAACGAAGTGAGATTTGTATGGTTTCCAAAGAAAGGCGGGATGGGTCCGTACAAATAATTATATGCTGCTGAAAAGTAGGTAAGAGAATGGAGTTCCTCAAATTCAGAAGGTATGAGACCTGAGAGCCTATTGTATTGGAGGTTTAGAATTTGCAATCTGGTCAAATTTCCAATTGTGGAAGGGATACTTCCATTTAAAAAAGTATTTTCTGATAAATCAAGCGTCATGAGATTACTCAACATTCCAATTTCTTGAGGAATAGAACCAGAAAGATAGTTCTTACGAAGTGATAACAAAGTCAAATTCCTCAAGTTCCCAATTTCTGTGGGAATTGACCCCGAGAGATTACACACAGTCATGTCAAGATGATTTAAAGTGCTCAAAGCCCCTATTTCTTGAGGGATAGAACCACCTAAGAAATTATGACTGATGTTGAACAAAAGAATACTGGACAAGTTACCAATTTTGGTGGGAACATTTCCATGAAACTGGTTGGAACTGATATCTAAAACTTGAAGTTTATGGAAAGATGACAAGTTGAGATTGTGAAGAGTACCTTTTAGCTCAAAACCTGAGAGATTCATGGTGGAGATGGACATGGATTCATCACAGGTAATTCCTATCCAGCATTTGCAAGGATTAGAGCCATTATTCCAAGAAGACAAGGAAGCTTGGCTTTGGTTATCAAGGCTAGCTTTCCACTTTAATAGAGCATTTGCTTCATCATTACCAGCAAGGGATGAAGAGAACATCAAATAGGCGCAGAAGAAGAACATGAAGAGAATATAGTGCCATGACAGTAGAAGAGGAAGAGTGGAAAGCTTGAACATCATGGTTTGGCTGCCTTTTTAATGATGAATTGGATCAGAGAGCATGAACTAATGAGTCTTAATGGTGAGTACGTTGGAGGTCCTTTTATAATTAGAAAAAAGCATGGGCTTTATGGTCTATACGATGAAACACATTATTAATTAGCTTCCTTTTTCTCATTTACTTGTACAACGTTAGCTTCTTTGCTAACTAGTTCTCTCTGTTTGCATGATAGAGAAGCCTAATTGGTTTGTAAGCACTCTTTAAATTTAAAGACATGTTTTGACTTTAATGAGTCCACATACATCTAAACTTTTCAACACAGAGGGAGAGAGAGCCTAAAAGGCTAATTGGTGATTGGCTTCAGCTTCTTTCCTTTTTTTTTTTCTTTTTTTGGTTTGGAATTTAACATTCTCATTAATATTAATCAAAAGTTCGCAAGAAATATATAATACATATATTACAATCACTATAAATAGAATTATGTGAAACAATCTATATAGTTAGATTTTAAGATGATCAAGTTATATTAACTATCTCTAGATATATGTCCAATATTATGTCCACATCAGCGTCCTTATCTATCCCCACCTATTTCCTCAATCCTAGGGCATGTAGTTTGCCTCACAGTCTTCTTGCTCCTAAAAGGACACTTAAGCTTTGCTTACTTTTCAAAACACTAGCTTGTCCACAAGACCAAAATTATGGCTTGAAATTGAATTGTAATTCCAAAGAATGCGATCATAAACATTAGGAGTCTTCAGTGGTCTCTAAATTTCAAAAAGGAAAGGCCGAAAATCACTCATATTGTTTGATGTTGACAGAACCTGACTGCCTTGAATGGGACGGTAGGAAACTCGGAATTGGTCACTGTTGAGTTGGGGAAAAAATTAGTCAGAGTAATTAATAATGGTAGCTACAACAGGCGTCAATAAAACGAGCGGTCAGAAAACTTGAACACCATGATTTGGCTGCCCTTTTAACATTGAATTGAACCACAGAGAGAATGAATTAAATCATTAATGAATCTCAATGGTGAGTAGGAGATCCTTTTATAATTAGAAAAAGAAGTATGGACTTTATGGTCTACACGATGAAACAGAGTGTTAGCTTCCTTTTTCTTTTGTTCTTTTATTTTTATTTTTTTTTAACCTGTACAACGTTGGCTTCTTTGCTCCAAGTCTGTTTGTGTAGTAGAGAAGCCTGATTGGTTTGTAAGCTTTTTGAACCTCGAGATACATTATGGTCCTAATGAGTCTCTAAACTTTTGAATATAAAAGAAGAAGGAGAAGAGAATCCTGTGGGCTATGGTTTTTTGTTGATTGTCTGGAGGTTCTTTCCCTTTTTTTTGTAATATAATTTAACATTCTCGTTAATATTGATCATCGTGAGTTTGGAAGAAATATATACTACATATATTAGAATCCCTATAAATAGAATTATGTGAAACAATCTACATAGTTAGATTTTAAGATGATCTAGTACAGTTATTAACTGTCTTTAGATTATTATATATTCTCTTCGTTTAAAAATATAACTTATTTTTTGAGAAGTTCAATATTAAAAAATATAAGACATTTTTAGTTTTTGAAAATGTAATCATTGTCTTTTTTTTTAAAGTATCGCTATTGATAAATGACTTTATATTTATTATAGGGTGTTTAATAGAAGTAAATATAAAAAGATAGGGTTGATTGAAAAATAGGTAACTATTTTATTAGGGATGGGATTTAGTTAAAAATACTTTATATTTTAAATATACTTTGATATATATATATATATATATGTTTGTATGTATGTCTACATCTATGTCTTTATCTATCCTCTAAGTAGTCTTCTTGCTCCTAAAAGGACACTCCCGCTTTGCTTACTTTTCAAAACAAATTAGCTAGCTTGTCCAAATGACCGCAACCAGTCGTAAAATTGAATTGTAATTCAAAAGAATGCGATTATAAACATTAGGACAACTCAGTGGCGTCTAAATTTCAGAAAGTAGGAAAGGACGAAAGCTCACTCCTAACTTAAATGGGACGGTTGGATACTTGGACTTGGTCGAAGTGCTAGAGTAAAAAAGTAGTCACAGTAATTAATTAATGTTGGTCTCAGAAAAGTACACAACAGGCATAAATAAAAAGAAAAATTGTCCTATATAAAAATTTTAACTACTAAAAAAAATCCCATTACATGCAAAAAAATAAATCTAAAGTCCCGTGAACTTTAATTCTCTATTTGGATGAAAAGAAAAATTGGAAGAAAAGAAAATAAGTGGAGAGAAAATGAAGAAAAAAAAATTGAGAAGAAAATATTATTACTTTCTGTGTTTGGATAGACAAGGGAAATCAGGGAGAAAAGAAAATAAACAAACATTATAATGACAATAATACCCTCATATTAAAATATATCATATTTCATATAATTATATTTATAAAATAAGTTGAAAAAATTATATCAAAATTAACATAAGTAAAATAATTTAAAATCAGATTAGTTGATAAATAATGTATTTTCACGTTATTATAATACATCAAATAATTTAGTCTTTTTTATTTAAAAAATTAAAAGTATGTAATGTTTTAAAATTAATACAATAACAGTTTTTTGTCTAAGTTCAAGGTACTGTTTAGAATTTAGGTCCTTATAATTAATAACAGTTTTTTATGCTTCCATTCCATGAATACAATATCTTTATAATTGATAACAGCTTTGCAGACAAGCTCACTCTCACCCCTTTTGTAGCAGTAAGAACTTTATAACAAAATCACAGGCTAGTAACTTCATAGTGCCGGAAGACTGGAAGAGACTTGTGCAGAGGAATAAATCTGTAAATGAAATATCTCAATGAAGTTTCCTAAGTGGAGGTGGTATTGTGAGAAGAAGAAAGTATTGCCTCAGTTGAAAGCTATCCGTGTTGCGAAGACAAAGACCAACTAGATGTAGGAGAGCAAGGGTAGGCGTGGAAGAGCTAATTTCTTCCCAAAATCTGTCCATGCGTGGAGAGCAAATTTGAGAAAAAATATGGTGGGTTCCATACTTAATTTTCTCTCCCACTTTTCCTTTCTTTTACTTTTTTTTCCTCATCCAAATGGAAAAAAAGTTATTTTCTCTCCAATTTTACTCCCATATTTTCTCTCCATCCAAATAGAGCACAACTGCATATAAGTTTTGATGTGCATTTACCAAAATACTCTTTTTTTTTTTTAAAAAAAAAATCTCTTCCCATCTCTGAAATCACTACCATGGCTGGTTTCTTTTTGGTGGCTGAAACCCCATGTGGATAAAGAAAGGAAAAGGAAGAGAAGAACAATTTTTTTGATTACTCCTTATTTTTAGTTATAATTATAATGTTTTTAGTTGTATTTTGGAGGTCATCAATAAAAAAGAAAAGTATTTTCTTGCTTAAATGAAGAGAAATTAACTAAATGCATCATATATATTTAATGTAATATTTTTAAGGAATTGGTTTAAAATTGTGGAAGCTTGAAATTGAATCAAAACATTCCACTCATAAATATTGATTTTCGATAGGTGAGAATGAAAAGCTTAAGCAAGGAAGAGAATAAAAGGTGAAGGGAGACATCAATCTTTGAAAGACTTTGATGCCAAGGCAGAGCAGTTTAGGTGCCACCCAAGACCCCTCTCTAGTACTGCGGCACCCTAGTTGGAGTGCTAGGCGCCTGTCAAAAATTTCAAACATAAGGCTTTGTTTGGTATAATGGAAGAGTTTTTAATAGAATTAGAATCGGAATCAAAATTAAAATAGAATTGAGTTTTAAAAGTGTGTTTAGTATGAAGATGTAATTCTAATATAATATTAATTTGTATATGTACTTAAAAAAGAAAAGACCAAATTGCCCTTTTTTTTCAAAATTAAAAAGACCTACCTTTTTATAAATGGACAAAAAAGATGAGGATAGTGGGGTCTACAAATTAAATTCAAGAGAATTGAAGCAATTTCATCGTCAATATGATAGAATTGGATTCTAGCATTTTTGATAGAATTAGGATTTTTAGGAATTGCAATTCTTATATACCAATCATGCTTAAATTAAGATTCCATCTCTAATTCCATTTTCACCTTGCCAATTCAGTGCTACCAAACATGGCCTAAGAGTTTTACAGCATAGAAAAAATGCATCTTTTGGCCACTGCACTTGGAAGAAACCTAGGAGAGTTAGAGGAAGAGTCTGAGAGCTTGAGATTAAGAAGTGGAGCAAATCTTCAATTCTACTAGTTCCATGCAATTCTTTTTTTTTTTTTACAAATCTAATTATAAAAGAATTCACTTAAATATCCTTAAGTTAAATATATAATTAAAATTTTAAAAACAATTTACAAATTCATTAGTTTAAAGTTATAAAATTAAGAGCCAAACTTATAAATTTTTGGAGCTGATAGAATAATGACTTTGTTACTTTTCAATTTTAAACATTAATGTATGTATTCCCTCTTAAAATTTGAAAAACAATTGGGAGTCAAACTTGCAAATTGTGTTTCTTAATAAAATAAAAAAATTATAAATTCATTACAACAAAGTTTTAAAATTGAGAACTTTTAACTTAAGTTAGGAAGGGTGTTATAAACTTTTCTCAGTGTATATCAAAATGCCACTTAAGGACCAAGTAACTTACTTGATATTTTGAAATTGCTTGAGACTTCAGTTGAATAAATTAGCCTTTTACATTTTGGCCTTTTTAAATATAAGTTCATATCTAATTTACGTTTTAATTCATGCAAGATATTTTTTCTGATTACCAAATCACTACCCTCCGAATGGAGAGAGATTATTTCCTATTGTTAACAAAGGATATTCAAATTATTCTCCACAAATTTTTTTAACAAAATTATTGATGTTTTTATATTTTAATTTTAATAATTTGATAATAATAAAATTTATATTTTTAACATAGAAGATTTGAGTAATATAATGTATTATGAAATAGAATAATATAATTATAATATGTTTTATAAATTTTAATAGGATTGAGTGCTTTATAAATTTAAGTAGACACATTTTTCCTGTACTAAATGATTATAAAAATAAACAACACAATCGAGCATTT